GAGACATAAGCAAGTCCTGTGATAGGGAACAAAGGCTAGAGCATCTGGAAAGGCAGTCACGATGGCAGAGAACAGGCATTCCTATTATCCAGAAAAGGCATAGGATAGGGTTGAATAAGGCATAATCAGCATTGCTAATATGTAATGAGATTAACATATTCTCCCATTGGTAAGAGTTAAAGAAAACATCCTATTATGATTATGGATATCGACATCTGTCTACGTTTACCTCAAGCCTAGCTCAAGTTGGAAAATGAAAATGTCAATAGAAAGGTACACAATAAAACTTAATTATGTTTTAGGTTTACTTTTATCATCAAGTGTGATGGGACAGAAAAGTCGTGCTGCTTCTGTTACAAGGTTCTCACTATTGGAAACACAACTCCAACAGAGATGAAGCACCACCCTGAAAATACACAGGAAAAGGAGGGTGCTATTCCATGAAGAATGCCCAATGCGAAAAGGTTGGAGGGCCATCAAAACTTAGATTTACTCCAACACAAAAGATTCCTCAAAGATTGTGGAGCATATGATTAAACAAAAGAGGCCACACATAGTTGGCGAGATCTTAACAAAGCCAAAGTCTCAGAAATAGTCAATATGTTGTACAACTTGGAGCAGAGGAAGAAAATCAAAATAGTGTCTGTGTTACTTATGTAAACAAATCCAGAATTACATTTATTTTAATACTAGAGGCCCAATGCACAAAATTCATGCAAGAGTAGGCCTTCCTTCCCCCAGCTGCCGGCACCAACTTCCCTCTGGCACCCGGGACCCAGGCTTCCCTCCAGCCGCTGGCAGGCACCAGGCTTCCCTCACAGCCCTGCTTCATCTGGAAGATCATCCAGAAGGATGTCCGGAAGCATGTCCAGTCTAATTAGCATGTTATGATTTTATTATTATAGTTTTTGAGGCAAATCACAAGGAATTGGCAACTATTATTTCACTTTTGAATGTAGCTATTTGGCAACTCTTTGTTCAGTTTTTTGTTTTTTTTACATAATTCTTTCATTTACTCATCAATTGTGTTTTGGCAACTATATTTCAAGTACAGTTTAGGTACAGGGAATAGATTAGTAAATCAGGTCCCTGACTTATTCTAGGAGCTTTCATTCTAAAAATGGGAGACAGCAACCAGCAAATAAATAAGTAATAAATTATGAAGTGATAAAAGCTATGAAAAAATATGTGTGAAAAGGAGTGAATGGAATAATAACAGTAGACTAGGTGGATAAGAAAGGTCTCTTTGAGGAGGTGACCTTTAACCAAAAATCTGAACTTCAAAGAAGGAGACAGCCATGTAAAACCCTAATTGAAGAGTTTCAGGCAACCTGATATTATTAAAGAACTCCAAGCCTTGAGTTTCATTTAGAAATTGCAAAAATCACCAACAGTTTTGAAAAAATTTTTACCAAACAAAAATTCAAATGCATAGCACATCTTATTCCTGGGAGCATAAATAGAGGAAGAATAATTTCAAAAATGTCATGATGTCCTGGTGAAAAATAGATCATCTAATCTAATAAAAGACAAACATGCAAATTGACTGTACCTTCACTACACCTTAAGCCATGCCCACCAGCCAATCAGAGTGACTATATGCAAATTAACCCAACCAAGATGGCGGCCAGGAGCTGGAGTGAGCAGGAGGCTTGGTTGCTCCAGTGATGGAGGAAGCCAAGCTTCCGGCTGGCTCTGAGCTCCACTGAAGGCAACAAAGTTTCAATTATAGAGGTAAATAAATCCCAGAATAAAAGAAAAAAGAAAAAAAGGAGAGGTTGGTAGCTTCCGTCGCCCACCAGCCTGAAAACGGCCCTCAGCCCCTCACCCAGACTGGCCAGACACCCCAGTGGGGCCCACCACCC